AGGGTTAAAGAGTTTTTTTCATTCATTCATCTCCCAAGAGCATTGCTCATTCTGAAGAAAATTTAATATGCTTTTGCCTTTTGAAAGATCCCATACGCAGTGTCTAGAAAAAATTTAGCAGGAGAGCAAATCTGTTCTGAAATCAAAGATATGAGGAAGTCCTAAGTGACATGATATTGCTGAGTTTATTGTTGAACTTATATCCTTTATGAATATGAATTAATTCTTCACATTTAGGATTTTAGTCTAAAATTAACAAGACACCTTCAGCATTTTTGAAAACACTTACCAGAGGGAGACTTTGTACAAAAGTCGATTGCTTGGATAGCTCTGTCGCATTCGTGTTTCAACCGTGAAGCAGTTATGTTTGCATGGCTGTGTTTCGGTTTGGAGGGTAGGATATGGCGTGAATTTACTGGGTACAGAGGAATAACACCTGAGTCCTCAGGAATCGCAACGCATGGGGGGTCCATGGTACTGATCATGTCTATAGGCGACGGTTACCACTCTCCATCAGGTGGGCCGTCAGCTTGTTTGCCATTCTAAGTTGTATAAAAAAAAAAACTTCCGTCACAAAAGTCATTAGAAACTTGTATTAAAAAAATCACTCTTGATCTAAAAAATGAAATGACTTTTTTAGTATTTTTTGTATGATAGAATATTCTATTAAAGTCTTTGAGCAAGAGAAACCTGCTGGAGCGTATTCGGGGCGAGTTTAAACAATGAGTAAGTTTAAATATACCTTTTATAAAAACTAGAATACACAGGACGTGCCTCGGCTGTACTTTTAGTTTCATATTATTAACTTTTGCGTTACCCGCTGAAGCGAGAGAAATTCCTTAAATAAGTTATAGAACAGTAGAAGTATTTCCATATTAATTAAAATTTTTGTTAGACAATATTTATAATTACGTTTAAAACAAGTTTGTTTACTAATAAATAAAGAATTAACAATTAATGATTAACTTTTAGAGAAATGTTAAACTATGAAGAATTAGTTCATTATATTCAATTTGAAATTCTACGTTAATTTAAAAAAGGCATAAATTGATAGGACAATTGTTTTGTGGCCTACTACATCTAAAGAGTTTTAGTAGCATGTAGAACGATTGATAATTTATAGTAAGTAGTTATTTATTGAAATAATTATAAGCGATCTTGTACTGGCAAAGACAATGTTTTTGTGAGTTGAAATGAGAATGTAGTCAAGTTAGTTGGCCCATCGGCCAACGTGTTTATTCTTGATTTCTTCAAGAATAAATACGTTGTTTTCGAAGAGGGATCACGCGGGTATTGCGGGGACCTGAGGTGTATTGCTAGTAATGGGACCCTTCATCATATCAGCCATTATCTGTCCACTGCTTTTTTTTTTTACAACACAGGGGGCAAACGAGCATGCGGCTCACCTGATGGTAAGTGACTACCGCCACCCATGCTGAACATAGGCCTCCTCTATAGGTTGGGGGGTTATGCCAGTAGTTGCCACGCTTGGCAAGTGGGTTGGCAACCGCAGTTTTTTTTGCGTGATGTTTTGAGAGGAACACTGCTGTTTATCCCTTGACCTTAGTTGCCTTTTACGACGCCCAAGGAAGAGTTGGCCCATTCTATGGCGGGACCACATGGCGAATATGACACTTAGTTTCCATTTCTTATTAATAATTCCTTTCATCCTGGCGAAGGCAGTGTAAGATGATCACCATTGGATAAAGCGATAATCTCAAATGTATTTATACGGTTATTACTTTATGGTAGTTATGAAGGTGGTGGACAATTTATGGCTAACATTACTGAATACCTTTCTTACAAATTGGTAAATTATTGACAATAGACTTACTTTACTCTTAATTGTTCTTTTCAAGAAGGATTAGTAAAACATTATAATATAATTAATTTTAAATTTTCGCGTCGTTTTATTTATACCATTGAGGTGACAAAATAACATACGGCTCGCCTGATGGTAAGCAGAAACATATTGAATAATTCCTCTGAGCACAGTCTCTTGTACAAGCGGTAAAATAAGCAGAGTGAGGCAAAATCCCTCCTAATACTTAAGGTTCGATACCGCTTGTAAGTCTGAGATCATCAACAATTCTTCTAGATTGCCGTTGTACTCTTGAAGGGTTCAAGTTGTTGACACATATTTTAAATACACTATCGAGATTTCGATTGCACCATGTCAAAACATTAACAATAAAAATGAGGTATATAGGTACTATTTATCTGCAATCCCGTCGCATTAAGTCACGGTAGTGTATTTAAAATATTATAATAAAAATTCAAAACGGTAATAAAATATAATAAATGCAATACTTAGATACATTGCAATATAAATAAAGATATCGATAATTAAAGTAATTTTATCCATAGGGAACTAGGGTCGATCTCGTTGCAAAACCAATGAAAAACATAAATTGGAAACGAAGTTTATATGAAGCAATTTAAACTTCGATAGATCTATGTTCATGTTTTTACGGGGAATTGTACAATAATTTTATGATAACATTACAATTTTGTATCGTATATTTTTTTTATACATTTGACATAATTTGGTAAGATTGTCTGTAAGAGATTGCCCTAGCGATAAGACCGCATTTTGTATCTTTATGTGTTTATTTCAATCTGTATTTATGTTAATGTATTTCACTTGAATTGTTTAATTGTCATTGTATATTTTTGTTTATTGCGCAATAAAGAGTTAAATATATAAAAAAAATGAAATATTTTAAAACCAAACTGACATTAATGAAAATTAAATTGTTATTTGTTATAAATAACAAATTAATTTGAATTAAATGATAAAACGAGACGACCACATTGTTTTGTTTTTTTTTCATGCATGCGGTAACAAAAACGTATTTATGATGGATCATATCACACTTGTTTTGGGAACCAGGAGTTCTTTCGTAGACAAGTAATAAACGATGAGATAGAACGAGATAGTAACGTTCTGCGTTTTGTTGTATCTCATTCGTGCAATAACTGAGTATTAAATGTGTTAACAAGATGTTTAAAAACTTTCACAATTTACATCACGAAACTGTTTTGAAACATTATGCATTTTAGAAAAAAAACGCTGTTGGATTAAAAGGATACTATAACTTTTGATGTAGTACACAGATTATTATTTGCTAAAGTTAATTATGTAAATTTTGTGTCGTAGTACAAACAAAATTCTGGCTAAAGTGGATCATAATGTTTTGACGTCGGGCAATTTTGTTTAAGTAGCGACAATTTGGGAAACTTTAGGGATTTATATATTAAGCTAAATTTTTGGTTATAAATAGTCCCATGTTTACTAAGCGAGTTGTCATCTTAATTGTTCTTTTGTTAAATTATTATTCTATATGTGCAAACATACTAGTTTTTACCTTCGACTTTGCCTACGTGGATAACATATTGATTGACCGGGATCCATGTCTTTTTTCATTTCAACTGCATGTACATAGAATTTATATATACAGTTTATACTGATAGCACAGGTGAGACTATCATTCCCACCCATTAAAAAATAAAGTAGTAAGGGGTAATAAACAAACAAACAACTTTATAATATTATAAAGGATAAGGTTAGATCTCGTGCATAATAGTTGGCCAGAACCTACATAATACATAAGGTATATCCGTGAAGAGATTGGACCTAAAGCGTATTGGCCCCACTGATTTAGGTCGTAAGTGGGTCATGAGGGGCACTTGAGGAGATTCCTAGCAACATTTCGTGTACAAACAGGATCAATACAGGTATTCGTGTTTGCTGGTTCCGTAGTTCGTTGCGTGTCGGTAACAACTACGTTTTGTCTTATAAATTACGAGGGACCCCCCAGTTTCATGACCCCTTATTTTAATTTGAAACATGTGGTGGGTTGCGTTCGTTTTTATAGAAAAATCAACGACCTGGTTTTATTTTCTGGATGGCGAACGAAAGAAATGCTTGAAGTAATAAAAGTATGTAAATTAAAGATAAAAAAAATATCCTTACTATATATTTATTTTCACGCCAAGTCTCTTACAGGGTAAATAGAGAAAACTGAGTGAAAAAACCTTTATTATTACATACATATTTTGCCTTTTGCGCTTTTATAACTAGTCTTATGTATGCACGACGGTTCTAGAGGCTCTTGACTCCTTCAAAAAGAACACGGTGCCATAATAGGTAACTTAGGTTTCCCTTGGTATCTACCATACATCCATCCAGATTCGCATTGTATATCTGTTTTGTCAACGGTTCTAAATAAAATACAGGTTCGCTGATAATATAGCTTAGTAAAAGAATTTTTAAAATCGTCAAAGTATGTACTTTTGAGTTAATCCATTACAAATAAAAATAAAATATTTCTTCTTTATAATATTAATTTAAATGCGAAAGTATGTTTGTTTGTTTTCTCATGGCATCTTAAATCCTCAAGCAATCCTCGTAAACTTTAGTATATACGTATTATTTGAGACAGAGAAGGACATTTTTATCTCGCTCATCAATACATCTCGACTGCGCAGAAAAAGTCGGTAGTAAAAACTAGTATATACATAATTATATAAACTTGTATATTTTTAGGATTATCAACCATAATATAAGTATGTAAGGTTCCATTTGACGCTGCCTTTCTCACAAGAAAATGGACCTGACAACATTGACTTATGCATAAGGAGAGTCGTTAGATTCTAGCTCGGGCACCACGCCAAATGTAATATAAATATGTGAATGCTAGAAAATGTTGTAGAATCAATATTTGATATTGAATTTATAGAATATTCTAGATAGTTTAGGAATTCCGTGAAACAATTTTATTTTATGTAAGCAAATAGAATTTTGATATCTATTGATACAACCTTGGTTTGATACAACCCTAAATAACGGTAATATATCGAATCGAGAAACAGTTACGATTTTGAATCGATTATTACGTTATGATCTGAAAATAATGCCCGTTCACGAGTATGACTTCACGGACTAATTACTAGTCAATATTATGTACATTTCGGGGAGCAAAGCTATTAATTAGATTTCATTTGTATTCTTAATCAGTCGCAAGCAATAAAATGTGCAGTTTACAAGATTAATTAACAGTAACTCTTTTATTGACTAATGCTCGTAAAGTCGAGGCATTCGTTTTATCAACTTTATTTAATTAAACATGATTGAATCGAAGCATTTGGCGTTCCATTGTTTCTGCCTACCCTAATGGGAGACAGGCGTGACAGATATGTATGTATGTATGTATGTTAATTAAACATGCTCTGTAGAGTAATTATGTATTATACGGTAAATGTTTAATATATTTTTATTAAAACGATTCTCAGTAAAGAAATATCTGTTAATGTTTTAATAATAAATATTAATAATTAATTTCCAGGTTGTATTTTTTGTGCCAAATACATAAACATGATGCCAGTTGCGGATATAAGTATGTATTTATTATTTCAGATATTAACTATCCATTACTGAACATAAGTCTTCCGAGTTTTGCCAGTAGTTGCCACGCTTGGCAAAAGGCGGGTTGGTAACCGCAGTTAGGCTTTTACAAATATTTTAAGAGGAACGTTGCTGCCCATCCCTCCACCCATAAGTTCTCTTAGTCGCCTCTTACGACACCCACGGGAAAGGAAGGGGTGGCACATTCTATGCCGGGACCGACATGGCGATAAGTATGTATGTAATCCTACTAATATGAATAATGATTAAATTTCTTTGTTAGATGTTGAATCATAAATGGTGTAAACTAAATCACGTTTAAACAGCTAATTGCAATATGGTTTTCTGATGAACTTTATATCCTTTAATCAAAATATAAAATACCTTTAATCTAGTTAATGCGTTGAAAGCCACAGATAGGCACGTTCAATATACCTATCTACGTGTAATTTATTGAAAATTTTTATTTTTTAATTTGACAGGTTTTTTTTACATAATGAAATATTTTTTTCTAATTTAAACTTTATCCTAGTCTATATAGAGACTGATGTATACTGTACACTGATCTAGTAGATCTTTTCATTTGCAACTTACATTAATTCTTTTTTTTTTTCTTTATTGTACACACCAGTTATAAGAATAAGACAGAAGTAATCAAAGATACAAAGGCGAGCTTAACTCTGATAGAGTTTTCTTCCAGCAAACCCAAATTGGAAAGAAGTATCAATGTCAGCGGATACAGCAGTGTACAATATTGTGACAATTTTTAAGCAGACAAAATTAAATTAATTACATTATATTTAATCGTACAAATACACATATACATATACATAAAAACATACTTACACACACATACACATATATATACAATATACGTACATATATAGATAAATAAATATATGTTCATAGAGATAGAAGATGCTCTTTAAGTCTACTCTTAAAAATATTTAGGGATTGACTCTCACGGATAGATATGGGAAGAGAATTCCACAATCTAGCAGCATGGACGGTAAAAGATCCACTATTAATAATGCGGAATATGACTATCCATGTATTCAATCTAATAAAATTTCTTTGTGTATATTTAACCTATTAACCATGTGATTCCTGTATAGAATAGACCAACCCTTCCTTACCCGTGGGTGTCGTAAGAGGTGACTAAGAGAGAGCGAGGTATGGGCAGCATCGTCCCTCTTAAAGTATTTCTAAAGCCTAACTACCGTTGCCAATCCGCCTGCCAAGTGTGGCAACTACTGGGAAAACCCCCAAGGGGGAGGGTTATGTTCAGCAGTGGATCTTTAAATGGAGATATGTTGATGATGATGTTTTAACCTTTTATCGGGAATATAAAACAATTAATATATAATTATGTCTCTGATTCTACTCATAATTATATTTCTCCTTTTAAAGGTTACCTGGAAAATAATTTCTTCAATCCTATTAGCTAATTAAAAAAAAAAGAATGTAAGAATGGATTGATGGATGGACAGATGGATGTCTGTTACTCTTTCATGCAAAAAATATCTAACAAATTTGAAAGACGTTTTGTACACAAGTAGCTTATATCCTAATTTAGTATATAGAATACTTTATATACGGACTCACAAGGGCCAATCCATGGGATATAGCTAGTCACTAATAAGATCTTTATAGTTTTCTCTTTGTGATATATTTCTTTGTAATGTTTTTTATTTCTCCTTTTCTAACGGAAGGAACGATAAGGCCGGATTCACACTAATGCCGGTCTCGATATCGGTCTGGTGAGTAGAAATACTTTGAGATTGATCAGAAGTAGAACGGAACTAGATTGGACTGTTTTACGAATACACATATATATATATATATATATATATATATATATATATATATATATATATATATATATATATATATATATACATTATATATATATATATATTATATATAAAATATAAAATTTTACCGAAACGAAAACGGCATTAAAGTGTGGATACAGTTAAAAAAATATAAGTATTTAGTAAATATATTTCCTCTAATAAGGACTAAGGCAAAATACTTGTTTTTGGTAAGACATTAGATAGCTATTTATTTAGCAAGAAGTGTGGTGGTAACAATACCCAAGTTCCAATAAACACTATCATCATTATTTTATGTTATTGTTTAGATTCTAGAAGATTATTAATTAAAGCAATTATGAAGCAAAGCATAACGAGTCTAATACTTCCATTACTTTTATCTCCTTTATCGTACTTTAGAACTCCTTTTTAATATTAATAATGCAAGTAACTTGAGTATCTTTATAAAATTAATAAATATCGATAGAAAATATATACAATTTATGTAGTACAACTTAAGGATTTTTATTTGAGCAAGTTGTCATCTTCTTAATATGTTTATTTGTCTGGTTAGCATACTTCTTCAGATATCTAAAAAAATTATAACTTTTTGTTTTACGTAGGTATACACATGAGCAGTATTTATATGTGTATATGTATGTATGTAAATGTATTTGTGTATATATAATAATAAGTAGGGGTATATATTTACATTATTATGATCATGTGTTACAGGTTGTCTGTAAGAGATTGCTTTTAGCGATAAGGCCGCCTTTTGTATATTGACCATATTCTTTATAAATACTTCTTGTATACATCTCTATTGTGCGCAATAAAGAGTTTATTATTATTATTACATCTACATAATTAGAAATGATAGAATTTTTATCGTGCCTCGGATCAAACTGTTTATAACTACTCCTCTCCATCCAAACGTTGCCTGGAAGCAATCGCTTTTAGCGATAAGGTCGCCCATTGTTTTTATCACTGTGATTATTTCTTGTAATTATTTGTATCTATAATAAGTTTACTACTGTAATCTTTTGGATCCACAATTTATATTTTATTTATAAATAACAAAATCGTATTCAAACTTAAAATTATAATTAATGTAGCTGGCCCTCTTGTTCTTATTTATTTAGCGAAACTCGGAGAGAAATATTACAAGGAAAAATTTCATAAGCAAATCTTGACTTATGTTAACTTTAATTTGATAATTGTAATATTATATTTTATATTTTTATACTATTATAATAAGCTCTGTTACGATAAGGTAACGTGGTGTAATTACATTAGGAATTATTTTATTTTATTTTTAATCAGTGAAACGCGTTGAAAGTTCTCGTTAACATGCTTTAGAATTTATTACAAGATGTAACTACTTACATTAATAGATGTTAAGAGGTTAATTAATTAATTATACATTAAGAGATAGATAATGCCATCAGGCATTAAGTCAGTCCTGTAGACATATTTTAATGTGTGCAAAAGTATAAAAAAATTAATAAGATTAATATTATAATTTAAATAAATAAAATAAGTTAATGTATATATAATTTATAATTTTACAGTAAAAGAAATAAGTCAGGAAGGTAATAAAAATTATCCAAGGAGTTTTTTATGTCGTATATAAATAATTACTTTTGTGCATGAATACGTATATTAATTCTTTAATTTTCATTTTATTTATTAATTAATTCAAATTTACAGAAGGAAATCAAGTGAAATACTTTGAAGATCTTCTAGAAAAAATCAAAAAGTTAAACAGTGAGTATGTTTTGTTAGAATAATTTTAGATTACTTCAAATTACTTGTTTTTGTTAATATTACAAATATTTTCAATTTCAGTGGGTGGTCGTTAATTTATTATTGAAAGACGAGCTTTTTTCAGACAGAAAAAACCTGTGACACTGCGACCTTTCCATGATCTTTTGTGTTTGCCTTTTTTTTTAATTTCGCTGCTAATTCCTATCAATGATAGGAAATTTAAGATGTTTTTTGTAGCGATGTTTTTTTATCTCAATAATAAAGCATATTTTCCAAAGGAGGTATATCGTTTATTTACAAAATCTGCAAATACATACTTTGCATTATATAATAATGATTTTGATAAATATATAATATTTTCCCTTTCTGTACTTTTATTAGCTACTTATAATGTTTTAACTATATAAATTAGAACAATAGTATTCCATTAGTTGATGTAAGATTTACCAGAGGGAGACTTTATACAAAAGTCGTTTTTTTTGGCACCTCTGTCCTATTCGTATTCCTACTGTGAAGTAGTTGTATTTGCATGGCTGTGTTTTGGTTTGAAGGGTGGGATATAACAGTTAATTTACAGGGTACAGAGAAATAATACCTGAATCCTCAGGAATGGCAAAACACGGAAGTGTCATGTGCATGAAACATTATACTCTGTTATGTCCATGGTACTACTTATGTCTATAGGCGACGGTTACCACTTTCCATTAGGTGGGCCGTCAGCTTGTTTGCCATTCTTAGTTACATAAAAGAAAAAGTAGGGTAATGATGATCCGAATATTATTAAAATTAATTTAACCATTTAACGTGATAGAGTAGTAAAATATCCTAATATCTTCATAACTTTCACATTTATGATATTAGTAAAGACTGAAATTAAAACAATTTTCTTTTCCGTAGTGTTTGTAGAATTGTAAATTATTTTTAAAGCAAAATATACTCTGAGAGTTCAATCAGATAAAGCTTCATTTCGGTTCAAAAGTCCCATGATCTCTGTATATCTCCTGAATTTTCAATTCATGTTAGAATCATTTATCATTAAAAATGATGATTATTTATTTAGGAGTGCACGTAAATGTATAAAGTACCTATATATCAAGCACGCCGTTATCCGGAGGCCTTTATGTATAACAAAGATGTTCTAGAAGGTGGCTTTTAATGACCCTCTCATCAGGAACGAATTCATATAATATATATTATACATAAAATATTGCAGTGTGATCCTGGCATAGAATTGGCCACTCTTGATTTTACCGTACGTTTTGTAAGAGACAACTAAGGGAAGGGAGGGATGGGAAGGACCGAGGGATGAGCAGTACCGTCTGTTATAAAATATCACCAAAGCAACTACTAGCAAATCCCCCTGAAGAGGATGGCCTATGTTCAGTAGTGGGCTGTTAACGGCTGATGGGATGAGGATGGGTATTATGAGATCTCTTTCACGGATATTTATTTGAAAGGAATACAAATATTTACATATTGAGAAGAATTTGTTTCAAAATAACAAAATACACGTGTTATTCAGCTTCTTAACCTACTGGTATATTGCATTATTATTCAAATTTAATAAGTACCCGCACTTGTTAGAATTTTGTACCTGTTACACGTGTAAAATCTAATATATGCGTTACGCTCTATTTCGTTTTTAATTATTCAATGGTCATTCTGTTTCATGTCAAACATCAATTAAAAATTCCATTTGTTTGTGAAAAACAAAAATCTGTTATTAGGTACCTTTTGCGTTGTACAATTTGGAATACAACTTTGTAAGTTCGTCTTTGTATACTTTGCTATACTACAAACAAACCAACAAAATATTAATCAAAAGATAAACAGTGATAGAATAAAAACTGTTTATTCCTTTTAACAAAATTGGATATATGATGTACAAACAGTAACACTTTTATAAACACCACGAGGTCATAAACTTTGTTAAAATAAATAAAATGTCATATATGTATATTATGTAGACGTTTATATAACTAACAACTTTAATACGAAAAGACGAAATGTACAAAACACCAGCTTAACTTTGCATCTACAAAACAAAACTACTGAACGGATTTGAATGAAATTTAATACACAAGTATGTCTTAATTGCTAAATCATCATATATCTTATTAGTACATAAACCATCCTATGATAGTACATAGGATGGTTTATGTACTGATTCATGCAGGAGGAGTACCGAGATACAGCTAGTAAAACATAGATGACATATGCATTTGGAATGCACTACCTATTGATATTAAAAAGTCACTTAACACAGGTTATTATATTAACCTGTACACTCAGGTTGTGGAATGAGCTCCCTGCCGAGATTTTCCCAAGAGACTACAGCATGGGGTCCTTCAAAAGGGGGGTAAAGAGGTTTCTTCAGGGTCGACAACGCACGCGTAATGCCTCTGGTATTGCAGGTGTTCATAGGCTACGGTAACCACTTACTATCAGGTGCGCCGTATGCTTGTTTGCCACCTCAGTGGTATAAAAAAAAACCTATTTAGAAGCCCAGTTCTAAAATCACAACTATTGTATCCTTTTAAAATTATAATATTAATATTAGTTAAGAAACTACAGTTATGTTTATACGAATATATCTCATTTCATATGCATTCGGAATGCACTACCTATTGATATCATAAAATCCCTTCGCAAACATTCCTCCAAACTGTTACAACAATGAATAACTCAATCTATATTTTTACATGATTAGCCATGACTTACGTTTATTATATATGTATTGAATTGTATATGATTTATGTACTAATAATTTTTTTAAGTAGCTATTATATGTATGCACATTAATTTATCTTAAAATGTATTTATTAATGTTATTATCTATCAAAACATTTGTTACATTTATAAATTGATTTATTTCAATGCACCGCAATTTACTCTCTGTTTAGCATAATGGTTGACTGGTCGAGAATGCTATTATGCATTAAGTCCGCCCTGTACATATAATTTAATGTGTGCAAAATAATAAATCAATAAAATAAATATTGAAACTGTTCAAATATTGTAAATATATAGGTAGTTTGTTAATCAAAGGCAATCTGTTTGATTGTTAGTTAGGTCAGAATTATGTATAAAATGATTTTATTTTCTGTATATCAAATGCAGTACTATGACAGTCAATTCAATATCGTATTTTATTCAAGTAATTTAATTTTGTTACCCGAATATTGTATCAATATTGTAAATGGATAATATAAGTTAATAAAGGAATTTAGGTAAAATATAGTTATTTTATATTGATAAAAATATCAATAAAATTTCCAAAAAATATATAAGAATATATAAGAATTAACTCTCTGACATTTTAAAACGACGAAACGGTAACACATGAATTAGTATTAAACCATGTATTAATAAATATCCAATTTGTTAATCTAAGCTACGGTTTATTTGTGTACCAGATTTCATTCAAATCTTTTTAGCCATTTATGCATAATCGAATGTCAACCTTGAATTAATACATGGGATATTTTATATCGTAACTAACATGGACAAAGCCGAGGATAATAGCTAGTTAATAATATTAATAAGTATATAGTTTATAATACACTTTTCATGTGCTTAATAGCATTTTGCTTAGATGTTACGTACGATTTTATTATTAGAAAACCACAGCCCGGAGCGTTCAGAAAATACAAAATGAAAATTTAATTAAATATTTATATACATATACGCTGAGTTGACTGAAAGGAGAAAAGGCAAAAAGTAAATAGATGATGTATTTTATGGGATGCTAATCCATTTTAAAAGCGAGGTATTACACTTTGAAGTATTAAATGAAACAGGATATGTCGAGTTCTTTACGGACGTTTGACATCAGCTTCGTAAAGCGCTTGCAAGCGATATATGTTTTGATTTCCCTTCGGGCAGCTAAAATATGAATATATATAATCCAGTCCGGCTTATACTTGTGCAGATGCTGGATTGAAGCAGCCGTTCTTACTATGAAATATAGCGGTTTTTTTGTTGTTGTTTGAATAAAATTTAAGTAGATATCTTTGTATGAAGTCTCCTTGCTAATATACTAATAATACCTGTATATTCTTCACAATACGAGAGATTAAAATGGGTGTATCTGTTACAAAAAAAAATCTATTCAGAATGGCTGAATAATATCGATTGATATACAAAATATACCGTTAAACCGAGAATGTCTTTTTTTTTAAGTTGCTTAAAAAGCTTTAGTCTGCAAATAAATAATTTGTAGTTAATACCTAAGTACATTATTATATTTACTATGATCCTAACTACTACCTAACTAAAAGAATTTTGATTTATATACAATACATATCTTGTATGATAAAAACCGATATAAATATACGTATAGCACTCAATTTTAATCTTATTTACGGATAATTAAGGATTGCATTCCACAAAAAAAAAATGTTATTTTGAGTTCAAACTAAAGTACTGACTAGATACATTTACGATAATGGTTTATTAATGTACCAGACTTATTCAAATTCGACCTTTTTTTTCCCCACAAAAAAACAACGATTCTTATTTTTTTTTACATTTGTAATACTAATTGTATCCTGCGGTTTTACGTGCGATTTATGATAATATTTACGAGTATCCTTGCCTGTGGTCCTGACGTAGAATAGACCGGACTCCTGTCTTTCCAGTGGCTGTCATAAGAGGTGAATAATGGAACTTAAAGATCGGAGGATGAGCAGCAGTGTCTCTCTTAAAACATCATCAAAGTATTAATTGCGGTTGCCAAATCGCCTGTCAAGTTTGGCAACTACCTTTAAAATCCTTCTTTATGTGAATAGTTGACGGTTGATATGTATGAATGAATATGAGTGTCCTATACGTCGCTTCAGGACATGGGTTATCTGTGTACCAAGTTTCATTCTAATACATACTGGTTTTGAAGGTGTAATCGAGTAATCGAGTAAAAAACATCCAAAGCTATAATAATAAGAGGAAATGGGAAATAAAATAAAATTTACATAATTTCCAGGCATTTAACCTACATTCTC